TTCGTTGAATCTGTTTTCTTGCATACTTATTTGTTATATTTTTTTTTAAATGTTATATGCGCCTTGGACTAGTTGGTCGTGGGTTTCTGTTTAATGTGAAAATGACTTGTTTTGGAAAAAAATTGCTTATGATCGAGTATTGAAAAAGACTTCGAGCGATCGGATTTATTTTGAACGTTAGAGGGGAAGTGTAAACATATATGGCAAGAAATTCGAAAAACTTTTGCGTCGCTTATCGAGCTCTCTTTTGTATACCTTTTGTACTCGCAAAGAGTACCGGGAAGCTTCTGGTGTTGGCTGACGACTTTTCAAACATTTGAATTTCATAGCTTACTGTTTGCGAACGAAACATTTGAAATCACATTACAATATAATTTTTTTAAGAAAACCGTACGTTGTACGACATCTTTTCGCGAAAAAAAAAGAGATGGAACATTGTGTGCGTCTTGAAAAATTCCTGAACATAGATATAACGAAGGAGTCATAGCAGAAATTCTAGCGATTAAAACTAATCAGGCTCGTCAGACGTTTGAGAATTGAGAAACGAAAGAAACAAAATTTGATGAGACAAATAGCGCGTGCGACGGGTTTATTTCATTTGTGCGTCGAAATCGCCTTAACAAACTTATCCGGATGTAAGTATATGAATGAATCAACAACGTTAACAGATGAATCAGTTTATTACTTCGCTTTTGATTATTGCATAAATTTATAACGCGATCTGCAAATGTCACTGTCAATTTTTGGAATACAATATTACATTTTCTTACAAGCAATAAGTGATGATTGAAGTTTCGGGTCGATGGAAATAATTTAAATACTTGGTTCTTTCGCTTAAAATATACTATACGATGGATAGCTGTATACTGTACTTACTACGTTTGGTACTTTTGATTACTTAATTGTAATGATTTGTATGTTCGGTAACTTGTAAAAAAAAATTATCTCGTACACCCTCTTCAATTTTCATAAAAACTTACTTATTCGTTCACATGAAAAAAAAAAAAAAAAAAAAAAAAAAAAAAAAAAAAAAAAAAAAAAAAAAAAAAAA